AAAACTGAAAATATTTTGTTGAAAATAATTTCTTCAGTTCTTAAAAAACGTAAATATTTTGTTAAAAATGATTTTTTTTTCTGTTTTTACAAAAAAAAAAAAAAAACAGTTTTTACAAATTTGTTTTTCCATTTTTTAAAAAAAAAATCTTTAAAAAAAACTGAAAAATGAAGAAAAAAAATATTTTTCAAAAGCGAAAATAATTTGTTGAAAATATTTTATTCTGTTTTTAAAAACGAAAATATTTTGTTAAAAACTGAAAGTGTTCTAATTCCTCTGTTTTTACATTTTTTTTTCAGTTTTTACAAAAAAAATATTTTGTTAAAAAAATCATTTTTGCAATTTTTTTAAAGTTTCACAAAAAGAAATTTCTTTTTCTTTTGGAAATGTTATAATTTCTTTTTGTAAAACTTTAAAAAAATTGCAAAAATCATTTTTTTAACAAAANAAAAATTCGTTTTTTTAACAAAATATTTTCGTTTTTTAAGAACTGAAGAAATTATTTTCAACAAATAATTTTCAGTTTTTACAAAAAAAATATATTTTGTTAAAAAAACAAGGGTTATATATAGACCTTATCGTAAAGTCTAGGGGGGTATCCGGGCCAATAGTGTAACGGCAAGGTTGGATATGGGCCAAACTTTTAACGAGTGTTATATATAGACCTTATCGTAAAGTTCAGGGGGGTATTTGGACATTTTCCGTTTTTTTTTTAAATTCAACCCAGCTAAGTTGCAGTAATTAAATTTCAAAATAGCAAAATAGAGAGAAAAGAACTGAAATTCCTATAAATCTAAATATGTATAATTCAGTATTAAAAAAAATTAAAATCAGTTAAATAGCAGTATAATTCAAAAATAACAAAATCGAGCAGAAGAATCTGTAGGCATCTAAAATTGATTGAATTTAAATCCAATAATTATTTAGATTATATTTTAAATTCAATGTATATATTAGTCCAAACAAATATTATGGGTTAATATAATTGAGTTAGTTATGTAATCCAATATATATATGGATTAAATAAATAAGTCTTAATCCATTGGGCTAGCCCATTTAATTGGGCTACAAATGATAAGCACACTCAATAGGCCCAAGATGTCATCTTCCTAGAGGCCCAGTTTGGCGCCACGTGTCAAATCGTGGCGCACCAAGTCAAACGGAAGTGCCAATATGATCGTGTCGCGTGTCAAAATGACAAGGCATGCCAAGTCAAATTAAAGGGCCAATGAAACCGTGCCACGTGTGCAAGTGACATATTCTGGCCAATCAAATGCGGCATTGTCACACTTCAATTTGATTGGTCGGAAAGAGTTTGTTCTTATCATAACTCTTCCCTCCCACAACTATAAATAGGGTCTTCATAACTCAGAAAGACACCAGAAGTTATAACAAGAAGCAAGAGGGAGCTCGTGGATCAAACGCTGCAGATTTCTCTAAAAGCTACAAGCATTCAAGTGTTCTAAGGATTAAAAGATCAAGACGAAGATTCAAGAACAAGCTGCAAGCCCTTGGATTAAAAATATGTCATATCAAAATCAGGCCTCAAGCACTTGGATTAAAATAAAATAAAATTCAAGATTAAGCTCAAAAGCTTTTTTATTTACCGTTGAAGAGTAGAATCAGAGGAATCATAGAGATTGTACACTCAAATTATTCAAAATAAAATACTACGATAGTTGCAATTATTTTCGGTCTTGATTTTATTTTCCTGACGCAATTTATTGTCTATAAATTCTGGAACACCCAGCGGGAGCATCCCTACCTCTCATCTCAACTTTTCAATCACCAACGTTCAAGAACATCGAAATGGCTTCAAAGAAAATCAACTCCAGTTCAACTTCCACCAAGGCTGCTAATTCCAGTTCTATGCTGATGTGGAAAACATACTCAAAGTTACCTTTGGAAGCTTTGGAGCAGTTACGAGGAGCAAAGCAAGCTCGTTAGGGCAACAAGCACCCCAAATGTCGTCCGCATCTACCCCTATTTTCGGATCTTCATCCTCAAAAGGAGCAAGATCTTCCACAAACGCACCCGAAGGAGGAAGCGATGTTGCTGAAAAGATCAAGAAAACTCTTGCTTTGCTTGACCTCTTCGGATCTAAGCACTCTGCTGTGAAGGAAGATGATGATGCTTCAAGTGATGGATCCTCCCCACTTACACCACATAGCATGATCCAATCAAGGATCAATCTGCGTGACAATCCATGCTACTCTCCATCATCCACAACAATCATGCAAGCCATGGTGACAAATACTTCATCTGTGGAGGAGTAGTTAGCAAACTTGACGGAAGCAATCGCTGGTTTGACCAAATGCATGCAAAATCAAGATGCTAGAATTGACAAGCTAACAGACAGGGTGGGAATCTTGATGGAAGAAGAATCCACCCATGCACCTAGCAAACTCCCAGAAGTTCAAGAGATTTATCCTCCCCCACGGCAAGTTGCATCCACTAAGGAAGTTCCAGTCTCTTCGGAAGGGATGATTCCAATCAATCAACTAAAGGAGTTCATTGAAGGGACTACAAAAAACAAAAATGAAGTCGCTTCCAAGTCCTCGTTTACCTACGCAAAGCCGTACACTTCAAGGATCGATATGTTGAAGATGCCTGCTGGCTATCAACCTCCAAAATTTCAACAGTTTGATGGCAAAGGCAATCCAAAGCAACATGTGGCTCACTTCGTTGAGACATGCAACAATGCTGGGACTTATGGAGATTACCTCGTCAAGCAGTTTCTCCGCTCATTAAAAGGAAATGCTTTTGATCGGTACACGGACCTCGAGGCTGGATCTGTTGATAGCTAGGATCAACTAGAGCAAGAATTCCTCAATCGCTTTTATAGCACGAGACGTACTGTGAGTATGATAGAACTTACAAATACTCGTCAATGAAAGGGTGAACCAGTTATCGACTTTACCAATCGTTGGAGGAATGCAAGCCTCAACTGCAAAGACAGGCTTAGTGAAGCTTCAGTCATAGAGATGTGCATCCAAGGCATGCATTGGGGACTACGCTACATCTTGCAAGGTATCAAGCCTGGCACATTTGAAGAACTTTCGACTCGTGGCCATGACATGGAGTTGAGCATGGCCTCTGCTGGAAATGGAAGGTTTTCTATCTATGAGCCTCGCAAAGGGAACGACAACCAAGAAGTCAGGAAATGGAGCAAGTTTGTACCCAAATCTGAAAACAAAGAAGCTATGAATGTCAACACATCACCTGTGAAGTTCACAACAAAGGTGAGCAAGAAGCACAGTACGAAATCCACTTCTTTTCAAGATAAGCCAAGTGTAAAAGTTGACTCTAAAAGAAATGCAAGAGAAGGAGTACACATTTCTGGATTCTGATGTGCCATCCATTTTTGAAGAACTCCTAGAGCTAAATCTTATTGAGCTTCCGGAGATGACGCGACCAAGTGAAGCTGGGAAAACAAATGACCCAAATTACTGCAAATATCACCGACTTGTAAGCCACCCTCTGGAGAAGTGCTTTGTCTTCAAGGACAAAGTTATGGACTTGGCCCGTGAAAAGAAGATCGTGCTTGAAGATGAGAAGGCAAGTGCGAACCAAGTCTCTATCACCTTTGGCTCATTTAGTCTAGATGAGCTATGAGTTTAAAAGAAATCAAAGATGAAGAATTACCGGAGAATAACAAAGTCGAAGTAGACAACCATGATGATGATAAAGGTTGGACATTGGTGACTCGCCGTAGGCGCCACAAAAGGAGCCCATGAAAAGAATCAATAGAACAACCAACAAGGAAAATGATGGTGAAAAGACCAACGAGATGGAATCCAGTTAAGCATTTGAAGAAAGCAAAAGTGGAGGTGCATCATCCTCAAAATCCACGACATCCAGTGACCTTGGAGGAGTTCTTACCAAGTTGGTTCCGCACGAAGATTTCCCATGGGGGCATTGATGCCTCTTGTTGCCATGCTGACAAAGAGGAAGAAAAGAGTGATGACCTACCATTGACACCATCTTCGGAAAAGCTTGTCGAGTCCATTCCTCAAGAAGTTAATGCTTGTGAGGAAAAAGTTACGTTCACAAATGACGATCTTCTACTTGGTGACACTCCTCATAACCGCCCATTATACCTGGTTGGCTATATGCGCGACGAAAGGGTAAATCGAATTTTTGTTGATGGAGGATCCTCAGTAAACATCTTGCCAATTCGCACTGTGAAAGAACTTGATATTCCCATGAACGAACTCTCAGAAAGCCCTGTGATGATTCAAGGAGTCAACCAAGGGGCGCAAAGAGTCATAGGTGCGATCAGGTTGGGAATCACCATTGAAGATATGCAATCAAGTGCATGGCTACATGTGATCGATAACGTCTTGCTTGGAAGGCTTTGGATACATGAGAATAAAGTGGTTCCATCTACCTACCTGTTAGAAACTGTGCGTCCACCAGACTGTATAGAGAAACGGGTTCTCTATGTGTTTCTTCTAAAAATACTGATGAATCAAACTGTATAGGGATCTGGTCCTAGATTAGTTTGGTACAGTGCTAATATTGTGTGAATCCACCAAATAGTAGAGTACCTGGTCCTTTGTGGGGTTCTGCTGTGAATGCTAGTAAAGCTGTAAGTAAATAAGGCCAAGGATTTTTACGTGGAAAAATCCCACACAAGGGGATCAACAAATCACGACCTACACAGGTAGGCTTTTAACTTCACTAACTTGCAAACTCCCTGTTACAAGCCACTTTACAATAACCCTATTGCAAAGACTTCAACTAACTTGTGATGCTCTCATCACAAGCCACTCTATAACTATCCTAGTTACAATGAATTTGACTAACTTGTGGTATTTCCACCACAAGCCACTTTGGCACACTACGGTTACAAAGGCTTTGACTAACTTGTGATGTTTCCACCACAAGCAACTTTGTCACACTACGGTTACAAAGGCTTTTGCTTATGACTATCCCTATTCACAACATAAACTCAGAAGTTTACGAATTTTGGTTTGTTCTTAAGACAACGCTTCTAAGAAAGCAAACTAGGAATTACAATGAAGAACAGATAACAAAGACTCAACAACCTAAGGACTTAAGATATCTTCGATCTTGGATCAGGTCCGAAGCAACTTTGTTCTTGAGAGAGGTTCTTGAGCACTTGAGAGAATTTTCGTTTTTGTATTTGCAAGTGTTGAACCAGAATCTTGTCCCTTGCATGAGGTTTATACTACACAAGACATTACCTTAGTGATGTCAATTCACAATGGTGATGTCCAATCTTAATGGAAAGTGACTGCTGCACTGTCTGTTGCTCTGTCTGTTGCAATGTTGCAGGCAGTCACTTTCTGCAGTTGCTTTCCAGTTGTAGTTGACTTTGTACTTCTGTTAGAGAACCCTTAGGGACCAGGTCCCTGTTGTGTTCCTCTTTGTATAGTTGCGGACAGTCACTCAGTTGTGTACCAGCTATATAGTTGACTTGTACTTCTGTCAGGGGAGCACCAAGGGATCAAGTTCCTGATCTGGTACTTGTGCACACTGCCCAGAGAGTAACTTGAATCATTGTACTTTGGTTGATCAGAGAATGAGTGGGCGCTGGAAACAGTGCAGTGCGGCAGAATCTTCGTTTCCAGTTGTGTCCAATTGACTTTGTACTGCCGTTAGGAACCCACAAGAGTATCAGGTCCCTGTCTAGGTTCCTACCTCCTGAAGCTGTAGCAAGTTCACATTTGGCTGGAATCCGTTAGATGCAGTGTAATCCAAGTGAGTCAGGTTCCCTGTCTGGTTCTTGACATTAAGTTTGTTAGATCATCAAAACACAAGGCAAAGATATTGAAAACATATCAATTTCCCCCTTTTTGATGATGGCAAACTGAGCATTAAAAACGAGGAGTTAGAGTTCTGAGAACCAGATTGAATAACAGGAGACCACAGGTTCCCCCTGACTTTATGCTCTTACTTACACATGTTTCACCATATGTTCCCCCTGACTCTATTCTTCCCCTTTTTACTATCGTTCTTGGTCTTTTATCTGGTTCCATACAGAAATTTTGTTAGATCATCAAAACATAGCTTAAAAGACCTTAAGCCCATCAATTTCCCCTTTTTTGATGATGACAAACTTTTAACATTGATGACTATTTGACTTAACCAGATAAGGTACCAGTAACTGCATATGTTCCCCCTAACTCTATTCTTCCCCCTTTTGGCATCAACAAAAATACACAGTCAGACAAAGAGGCATAAAGAAGTCCAACAAGGCTAACTGATGCCACATATGTGCACACAATCATGATAGACAAGAGAAGTAAAAGGGAAAACAAGCATTCTACAAGCAAAAAAAGAGTTGTTTTATTGACAAGAAATTTGACTGTTACAACAGGAGCAGCACGGTGAAATCCAACATGCCATCACAAAAAGACAAACAAAAAGAGAAACAACAGCCATAAAATCATCAGAGCAAAAGATAACTGGCCACTGAGAGGATCCAAGGGGGCACTAGAAGAGGGAGGCTGGGAAGAGGAGGCATCAATGGTTTTGAGAGCTAGGTCCATGCGGGTAGTTGCAGACAACTGTTAGTCAAGCAGTTTCTGCACTAGTTGCCTAAGTCCAGAACTTGTCTCATACCTGCCATCTCCTAGTTTGTCGAGCAAGCGTGCGACCCCACAAGACATTTTCTGAGTTAACTTTCCTGCCCAAGGCCAGTGTCACTTAGAATGGTCTTCATTGAACCAGGTCCTCCCACAGTTTCCACTTATGTTTTCTAGATATTTCAATAAACTTTCCATTCCTGCTTGCAACAGCCACAATGTCACCCTCAAACAAATCTTTCCTAGCCACAGCCTTTTATAGATTTTTCCACTAAGGAACTAGGTTCCTCCACAGCATCTTTATCAACCTCAACCACTAGAATGTGTTTATCAGCCACAGCTTCCCCCTATTCATCAACCTCTTCTTCTTTTTCTTAATACTCTGCTTACTTTTCTGCATGGCAGACTCAAAAGCCTCTTTCTTCTGCAACCGCCTGGTTTGTTTCAGCTGAAAGAGAATCAGGTTCTTCCACAGGTTTTTCTGTAACGGTGTCATGAACCGGAGACTCTAAAAGCACCAGAGTCCTTTTATCCCCTAAGAATGAGGTTTCTTCCCCCTGAGATTCAGACAGAGGGGAGGTAGGGTTTGCAACACATGGAAGTGAGACTGGAGATGAGGTGACTGGAGATGAGGAGGAAACCGGTATGGGTACAGTAGTATCAGGGATAGTGAAGAAGTGGGTTTCCGGTGATGGCCATGGTGAGAGAAGTGGTAGAGAGTTTTGAAAAATTAAAGTGATGCAGAGGGAGACAATGGTTTAGAACTGCTGGTCTAAAAAGTCGGATGATGTGGCAGTTGAATTAATTTTGCTATCCTTTTTCTTTGAACAAGCATGCGAAAAACACATTACTACTAACCTGTGGTGCAGGAACTCGGTTCCTGACCTGTTTTTGTAAAAGGGTTTTTGCAGCTCTCCTCCGAAGTTCAATACTGTACCTTTAGCTTCTATGATCATCATGCGTGTTTACCTGCAACGGTATAGATGTGAGTTAGGCCTAGTCAGAAAACACTTTAGCCAATTTTACCTTAGTGTGACTATCATAGTCATGTCAGCGGAACCAAGTTCTCAATTAGGTTTAAGTAATCACAGTGCCATCTTGTTTCTCAAAGTGTTCCCTGCTCAGAGCTTTGGTGAAGATATCTGCAATTTGATCTTCTATGCAACAAAATCTTATACAAATAAGACCCTTTTTCACATTGTCCCTGAGAAAATGGTGTCTGACATCAATGTGCTTGGTTTTCTTGTGTAGAACAGGGTTCTTAGCCATGTTGAGAGCACTGGTGTTGACACATAGAAGCGGTACACCATCAATGTATACACCAAAATATTCAAAGTTTTGCTTGATCCACAGTGAATGAGCACATCACGAGGCAGCTGCAACATATTCTAAGGATAGTACAGAACCAGGTTCTGTGTGCCCTTAAAATATCTCAGAATTCTCTTAGCAACCTTCAGATGAGATTCCTTAGAATTTGATTGGAACCTTGCACATAATCTTACACCAAATACAATGTCTGGCCTACTGGCAGTAAGGTAGAGTAGAGATCCAATGATTCCCATGCTTCCATGTCAAACCCTTTTAAGAGTTCTTTGATGCATTTCTGCTAACTGATACACGTTCCCTTTATGGACTGCTTCACTTGAAGACCCAGGAAGACATTCAGTTCCCCCGTCGTTGTGAGCATGTGATTTTTGCCATGTTTAATTTACTCCTACAAATCCATTAAAATTAGGATTTTTC